ACAGATGACCTGGATTTACTGAAAACAAGCAAAGTTATAACACTATACATTAATACACAAACTATTTACAGAAAGCATTGTAATAATTTTAAATGGTATCCACTCTATTTACAAATTTACATGGCCCTCTTCTGACCTCTCTCCTAGATCTACTCCTGTCCCTGTCGGCTCTGTGACTGCGTTGGCCTGTGAGATGAGTATAACAATAACTGAATGCAATACAATAACTTGAATTTAAGTCAAGTTGTTTACAATGTTTACATATGTGACTGTAATTTATACAATTAGAAGGTTTTTATGTTCTTTGTTTTTTGGAAAAATGTTTAAATGACATTAGTAACAAACCAGTATTTCACAGCAGACATGAACCGCTCAGTATCACTGCTGTGACAGAGGATGAGAGATGATCCAGTTCATGGCGTCATGACAGAGAGGAATCAGAGCTGCTGGGGAACAGGATGAGGAGTCACATCTGGAGGAAGAACTGAGAGAGAGAAAGAGAAAAAGAGGAGGGAGGGAGAGAAAAGGGAGGGGGAGAGAGAAAGATAGGAGAGAGGAGGGCGAGAGAGAAAGAGGAGGGGGGGAGAGAAAGAGAGAGAGGAATGAGAGAGAGAAAGAGGAGGGGGTGGGTAGGAAAATAAAGAAAGAGGAGGGGGAGAGAGAAAAGAGGAGGGAGAGAGAGAAAAAGGAGGGAAAGAGAGGAAAAGAGGATGGAGAGAGAAAAAGAAGAGGGAGAGAAAAAGAAGAGGGAGAGAGAGAGAAGAAGAAAAGTGGGACCGTGGGTCAGGGTGAGTCTCAGTCCTCAGAGGTTTTACAACATGGAGCAGCAGGAAGGAGACTGATCTCTGGTGAGTAGTGGCACATGAGTGACACACCCTCTTCTTACCTTATCTCCGTCTGTCTCTCTATAGTTTCTAACATAATGTCGCTCTGCAGGTTGTCTGTTGTGTCTTGTGTGACGTTGGTTTTAACAGGAGAACATTTTGTCCTCCTGCACTGAAACCAATTAACACCTAAACTAGTTTCCAACCTTTGTAGCGTTTTGTGTTGTTTTGCTCCTTTTGTGAAGTGAATGAAAAAAATAGAAGTAAATATGTTTTTTTCTTGAAAAAGTCAACCACGTTTTTTGCATTAACATATTTTTGTAGTGTGATGACTTCAGTGCCTTGGGTTTGGACCCCCATCCCCCCACTCACTCAAACCACACATGCTTGCACAGCTATCCTTATTAGGACTTTGGATTGACTTCCACAATTCACACCACACCAGGGCCTCAGAGGTGAGGTGTGGCCACATTAGGACAAGGCTTTGGTCAGTGACAGATTCATTCAACCTTGTGTTTACGTTTTCCTGTAGCTTGTTGTCATATATTTCTAAAAATTATTCTTGGAGCCATATCCCCTGATATCTTTTTCTAAGTTTCTACACTCGTATCATAATTTTTTCCAACATTTCCCAAAAATAGAGAATATGAATAAAATAATGTGAAAGTTCGTATCTTGTTGTACAACTCTAGAAAGCATTAACAGTGTGACTGTAAGGGCCTTGAGATTCGTGGTCATGTTAGATGTAAGACAGAGACAATGTTTGGCTCGAGTGAATCATCAGTTGCTGGAAAGCAGGCCGGGGACAGTACGCTGCAGCATGTTGGGCCGGGTGGAAGGAGTGTATCTGAAGCTAAGCAGTTCCAGATGTGGCCGGCTGCTGTAAACAGCCACAAACAAACCGAACTGTTGAAGAGTGAGTCTGCAGGTTTTCGGAGGAAACGGGGGAAGCAGACAGTGGAGCTGTCACACTTAATCTGAGGCGTCACCACTTCACGGTAAAAGCACAAACCATGAAGTTAATGAAACCCACAGTTGCTCACTGATCGTGTTGAATTAACCTTGATTACAATGTGATAGAGGTGGAGGGGAAACCTGAGGAGGCTGTTTACAGTCGGAGCAGCTGGGGTGTGCTTTTGTCATTTCACTATGTAAGCATCTCTATTTGTGCAGTTACATAAAAGTTGAAACAATCTGGCCAGCAGCTAGATTCCTTCATGAAGCACTGGCACCAGGAAGTGGTGAAAGGCTTAGGACTAAATGCAGCCACGTGTGTTGTCCAATGTCTCCTGGCTCTGGGCCTCAGTTAAATCCAGGTTTGGTCACACGTCTGTTTTTTGGGATGGGGGATGGATGTGGTTATTATCCAACTTGGGCTGATTAATCAAGCTTTACTTTTTACTGCAGACATGAGCCATTTCCAAACATGATCTCTGGAGAAAGTCCACTCAATTGGGTCCGGACTTTCTCCGGAGTTTGCCTTTCACAATCGAACAAGGCAGCAGGAGATTGTTTAAAGTCTGCAGGCTGTCAGTCGGACATTTTCAAATAGAGCCCCTACGTATGTGTGAAAGCAGCTACAATCACTCGATCATGAATATGGAGTACAATTAAATAAAGTGTGATTTTGATACAGTGTTAAGTTTCAGTGTGATCACAGGATTCAGGGCATCCCAACCGACCCCTGCACACTTCTTTATTTAAGCAGTTATCTAGTCAGCCAATGTAATGTATCAAATCATGTCCTCCCAAATATTTCATTGTCTGCACTTTTCAGTATTTTTCACTTTCCTTATTTCTCTGACGTTTCTCAAATTTTTATTTCCATCTCAACCGTCCCATTCCCATAAATTTATCCCAATTATATGCAAACTGTTTCCTA